CTCCAAAAACATTTCAAATCAGGCTAAAAATCTTTAGCCTCTTCTCTGACTTCTGTGGTGTCCTTTCCCAAGTACGTTTTGCAGCTAATCAGCATTTTTCCACCAAAACTTGCTGCCTCACAAGGCTTTCTTGTTAACTGTTTTAATTTTTCACAAACGTTTTACAATCTGAGTTGTATCTACTCTATTTATTTAAAGGTTAAGAAGTAAACTAAGGAAGTCCTTTATTTAAAAATATGATCTTGACAATTTTCCAAATATTGTCATTATATAATGAACAGATACACATAAACTCCTAGCAGTATCTATCTACTGCCCAGTATATTTCTAACACTTCTATAACTGTCAAAATAACTCTAAAATCTCAATGGCTTAAAACAACAAAGATTCACTTTTTGCTTATGCAACACCTCTAGGGTTGGGGAAGACCAGAAAGGTTGTGTTCTCTACTGGCCATGATTAGGGATACAGGCCCCTGAGCCTCCAACCACCTGGGCCACCTCACTGTAGCAGGGAAAAGAATTTACTGCAAACCATACTATGTATTTATTTAAATCGAAGACTACCAAAACCTTAAGAAACCTGCTCTTCCCCTACAATAAATCCCTTAACACCTTCTTTCTAGAAGTTAACATTTCACTTCTATTCATATTTCACTGGTTAAAAGGAAATAACATAGCCATAGCTAACTTTGAGAGGACAGGAAAGTACAATGTTACCATGCGGAGAGAAAAGAAGAACCAGAAATATAGCTGAACCATTCTTATAACTACCACAAATAACAACCAATATTGTTCTTGGACTAGAGAAGAATTCTGATTCACATTAATAGTAGTTTGTTTTCTTCTTTATACTTTTATAAATTTTCAAATTTTCTGCAATGTATATAAATTATTTCTGTAATACAATTAAAAAGATTTTTTAAATGACATCGAACTATACCAAGGGTCACTAACACATATTCCATAAGCTAGAATCACAGTAAAAATCTAATCTACAAAGGTATAGTAATTACAGTCTATATCCAAGGCAGAGTTATTGGTTTGTTTTTTTCTATTATTGATATGATAGCAATCATGATTAATTACAATCCAGGATATGACTAACCATTCCATCATAAATTCCTAAGTTTAGTTAAACAATAAGGGTGGTAACAACCCATACTTTGGTAGTTATGTACCTTCAAAAAGGTAGAAAGGCCCATCCTCTATATGCAAAAATTTACTATTTCTAAAATGTATATTTCTATAGTCTTCCATTAAGATGGCATGATATTTATATATATATCTTACAGAATAAAAGGCCAAATAAAAGAATGTCAAAATACAGACATCTCCCCCTCCCATCTCTATTATTTCTTGGCTAATAATAAGTTATCATCATCTATAATAATGCTAACACTGTCTTATATTAGTTTTCTGGCAAATAGGCATACTATGCATTTATTTAAGTCAAATACTACCAAAACCTTAAGAAATCTACTCTTCCCCTACAAGAAAACATTTCACATTTCATAGCATTTTAAAGCTTGCCAGTCTAAAAATCTGGATACTCCTGCTTTCTTTTTTTTTTAAGGATAAATTATTTTGAACATGTTCTACCTGAAATATAGTATAAATATATTAAAATAGCCTTAAAACAAATAGTGCTACTGACCTAGAAAAAGAAAATGACAACGTTAAACAACTTATTTTGGAGAATATTCTGTTATCAAAAAGAGTAAACTTATAAAACTTATGTCTGTAAAATAACTGTTCAAGTGTTAATAAATGTTATTATTTCCAAATCTGATATCCCACAGTAATAACTCATTTTGAAATATATAAATTTTAAAAGTACGCAGGAAACTGAAAAAAATCTACAAAACCTTTTAACTTATTTTAACAGAAAACAAGTAGTTATCGCGAGCTACAAACACTTGTGTCTGATATTAGTAAATAAATACATGCTGACACGCAAATTACTGATCAGTATTTCATTTCTGGCCTATTCATTTATTAAGGAAACATTGTTTTATTGGATTAATGGCTTCAGGCAAATGAATTTTCTTATTTCTCTGAGTAAGGTTAGCATGTTTTTCTCAGGTGTCTTAAAGCTCTTCATATATAAGTATTAATATAAACATTCCAGAAGATGAAATAAAATTACTACCTAAGAGTGAACTAGTTTATAATTAGAAGCCTATTGGTGTTAATAGAAACTACAAGCCTACCGGTGTTTAATATAATTCCTCCTTGGAATTATATAATTTTAAAAATCGAGTAGAAACAAATTGTTTTCTATGACATTTGTATTACATCTTCTTACCTAGGTCTGTTACTTGTCGATCAAAAGGGCAACGTATTGCTCTTCCATGAAGAGGCAGGCGGGTGAGACAGTCATGACAAACTGTGTGACCACAGAGAAGAAGGCGAGGGACTTTGTCTCCTTGCAAAGAAAAGACATCTTCACAAACTCCACACTCTAGCACCTAATAGTTAGAAAGGGAACATGTACTCTTTAAATGATTTTTAAAAGCATATTTATTTAAGATTAAAAAAAAGATGTAATATATTAAATCAATCTTGTTAAATGACTTTATTCTTCCATGAAAAAAACTGTCTAGGTTCTAAAACTTTAAATCACCTTTTATCCTTTCTTTTGACAGATACTACCAAAATTAAATCACCGTGAAATCCTGAAATGTTAAGTATCAGAGACTAAGTAATGTTGTAAATTAACATCATCTTTATCTCTTGAAAATTATGGCTTGATGCACTATATCTGAATCTGTAACAATTCTACCAAAGATGGATTCTTAAACAATTTTTCCACGATTACCTAACATTAAAAAAATCATCATTAATTTAGACAAAGCAATTTGAAATATGGGCTAGGATGACAATTTATCTTTGTAAAAAGTTTCTGCTTTCATGATTTCACATGAATAAAACAAAAACTTGTTAAGATTATAAGTAATTCTGAAGTACCTTCTAGTATTCTTTTACATTATACAATTGTAAAAGAGAAGAAAGCAATTATCTTTGACTTAAATTTCAATTCCTCATTCTCAATTAATAAATATACCCCTAGGTTAAAAACTATTTTGTCTGTCTAGTTCCAATTACAAGTACATGATTTGCCCAAGGCCATGTAGTCGGTCAAAAGAAAGGCAACAAGAATCAGCATACTCTGATTTCCAGGCCCATGAGTTTATATTTTATTAGTCAACAAAGTGTATTTTTATCAATGAAGGATTTTTGGTACTTTTATTTCTTAATACATCTGAAGTGTTTCACAATTTTAATTAATTTTTAAAAATACCCATACTGAACTGTTTAATGGTACCACAAACTCCTATGCCTGTCATCCATGACATGCCAAAATCTGGTCTCTGTCCTATTGCTTGTCACCCCCTTTCAGACTCTATTCTCAAACTTTATCAAACAGTCTGTAGTTCCCGGAACATGACAAACTGTTTTTGTCTCTATCTTTATGCTAATGCTGAGGAGAAGCTAAATAGACATTTTTCTAGTGGATCCTTTTTTACATTAACAAACCAACAAATTCCTAAACATCATATCTCTCAGGTCTACAGATGGCTCAGTCCAACTGAAATGACCACAGTATTCCATGGGTCCCCTTGTACCATGAATAAGTGTCTCTCTTAACACCCAAAATACTTTAATTTTTTTAGTACAAAATACTTTAATACAAAAGACTTTATTGACTTTCCAATCTGTTTTTCCCTGTTAGACCCAAAAGCTCTCAGGAACAGGGTATTCCAAACACCAACTCTTATGTACTTATATAAAGTCTGACAAAATAAAAATTTTAAAACAGTTCAGCCATCTACAAAAAATATACAGTACACAGTAAAAACAAAACAAAAAAACAAAAATCCCAGAATAGAAATCAGACTTAATCCATTAAAACTGTAACCCTAACTCTGCAATTATTTTGGACTTAGTGCCTGAAATGCAAATATCTCTCATTGTAACTAAACAGATAATTCGTTATTGGCTTGCATCCCAGTATGGCTCAAAAAAAGTTGAAATGTTAACACATAGTTCACAAAAAAGAAAATGAAAACAGTTCTTTAAATATATGAAAAGATATTCAATCTCATTCAAAACACTTTGAAATGCAATTAAATCTATCAACACATGACTAGAAAATAAAGCATGGTACATTCATATACTGCAAAACTATGTAGTCTAGTGAAGAAGTTAGGAAGTTTTTTATGTACACACACACAATGATTTCACATGAATAAAGCAAAGTGAAAATGGATATATAGAATATATGAACTTTTGTACAAAAGTGGAGAAAAAAGAGAATATATTTATGTATATATCATTATATAGGCATCTTATCTTTCTGGCAGGATACACAGGAAACTGATTACATTGGAATGGTGGCTCCCTATGAAGAAAGGAAATAGCTGGGAACAGCTACATATAAATTATACATATTATTCACACACACTTCAATTTATTCTATATTTTTTTAAAAGGCAGGAAAAAAGTTTCATTTAGATATCAAATTTTATTAAATAGATTCACTACAGAATGATAATAAAAATGCAACATTTTTACAAATGTTCTCACTAATGTGACACCATAATAAATTTTACTTGTTTATGACAATAAACTCCAAAGGACCGAATTAAAATTTTATTTAGTTCATTCATATGTTATATCTCCGATCCTGTCATTAGGTAAGATAAAAGAACTTACCTATGTTGCTATCATAGGATTTTCCAAAAAGAACTAGTAAAATTCCACTGATTAGTAAACCAAACACAGGTCCAAAAATAAAGTTACTAGACTATTTCTCATCATCTTGGTAAATAAGAGTTAAGAAATTCTTTCTTCAATATTTATGAATAGGAATTTTGGCTAACTGTGTAAGAAATTAAAGCCTAGAGAGGAAAAAAGCTCTTAATTTTAAAAACTTTACAAATCTGCCAAAGACAACTTCATTACATGTAAATGAAATTTAATAAACCAGACCATATTTTAAAAGTACTAAGAAGGCTCACTATTCAAAAGAAACTTTCCTGATTCTTTCCTGAATGCAAATAATTTCATATCCGATTTTTATTTTTGTTTCCCTAATAATAAAAGCCATGTCATTATCAACTTGTTCACTGAGGCCAGTTTACCTTATATTAGCATCAATATACCTCAAACTTTACCTTCCAATTAATACTTCTTGCTTTCATCTATGAAAATGACAATATTTTTAAAAAATTTATGCCACCATACTTCTTATAAATTATGTCATGAGGCTCTTGCCAAAAAGGACTGTCCTACTGCACAGCTCAGGCACATTTCACAAGTAAAGATGGAAATGAACAAAGTGAGCCTCTGATATGACAAACTGTGCTATAACAAACTGGTGTTACATCAGGCTTTGGTATATTTTTGAGATTTTAAGGCAAACATAGTGACAAAAGAAGTATAGAAATAATATCCATTCCAATGACAACTTAATTCAATTCACAAAGTAATTTTCAAGTATTCTCTACTTAGAAAAAATACAACTCAATAAATAAAATCTCAACTACAGAACATACCTAATAATAAGATGGCTCCTCTGCATCTCGGATACGCTGTGTATCTTCAGAATAACTTCATTAATGTATAAAGTTCAGATGAAGCAACAACCAATACTGACTGATAACATAGTTGTGAGCTAAAATGTATCATTTGTTATATAAAACCAATATTAGGTAAAAAAATCATAAGTGGCTATTATTCAAGATCTTAAAAGAACTTCAGATATTATCTGGTACAGTTGTTATCAACCCTGGTTGCACATTAAAATCACTTCTCGGAATGTAAAAAATATACTGATGTCGACTTAATCAGAACTGGGAAGAGTGCATCGGTAGTTTCTTTAAAAGTCCTTAGTGATTCTAATATGCAGCCAGGAATGAGAATTATCAACTTCTCTGATCACAAATAATCCTTAAGGTTATTCTACAAACCACTGTGATCAGTCTTCCCTTCCAGATTTTTCCACATATATAATGGAAGGGAAAAATGAATTACACGTATTCCAGTTGATTTTTTAGTAACGGCATCTTGGAGAGTTGACACAGGGTTGAATTTCAAACTTCAAGCAACGGGCAATTCATATACCCTAGCATCAATGCCCAGTTATGCTGCTGTTGGACACTTCTCGAGTGTTGACAGACTGTACCACCAAGAAAGAATGGGGCAGATCAACCAATAATAGATGACTAATTATAAGAGTAATACAACAGTGAAAAGCAAACATTACAGCCAGTCAACCCTGGCCCTGCCACACATCGTGTTAACCTAAACCTCAGTTTCCACACCTGTAAAACGGGAATTAACATCTACCTTATAAGTAGATATTAACAAGTTAAAATAGCAATCATAGAACCTGGCAATAATAATGACTCTATTTAATAAAAAATAATAATAAAATTCTAAAAAGCTAAGTAATGCCTGTTGAGCTTAAAAGCAGACCTGGGAAAAGAACAGCCAGGTCACTCCCACGGACCTATAAGCTCCTTTTCAAAACGTCCCCAAAGGTGATGCCAAGCAGAGGACTGGCATGAGCAGACCAGGCCACTTCAGGCCTGCGGGGACAAAAGTCGCATATGGGGAGGGCGACGATACTAAAGCCGAGTGGAGCCCAGAGGCCGCGCATCCCGCCGAAAGAAGCCAGGGCCGCGGCGCTGCAGCCAGATCTCCGGGATAAACCGAAGGGAGGCCAATGGTGGAGAACAGAACACACAAGGTCCCTCACCTTCACCACGGCCGACCCCCGGCTGCCCTGACGGCCACTGTCTAGTCCCATTCCAGGCTTGTTTACAACCAGGGCCGCCATCCCAGGAGGAGCAGCGCCGCTGAAGCGGTCCTCAGGGACTTCCACTGAGGGGCGGGGTAGAGCCACCTACCCACAGGCCTCGGCGCTCGCCGCTGAGCGCTGGCGCAGTGCGACGCGGGGCGGGCGTGCTTCGCCTGCATGCTCGCTCCTCCTCCCGCCTGTCAGTAGCTGGTTACACGGTCTTGCGCATGGGTGCTTTGTTATTTTTATTAGTCTCCGACTGATGGAAGGAATAAAGTTAAGAAAAAAGAAGGGATAAAACATAAGTTTGGAGTTGAAACTCCTCCAACAACGAGTTTTTCTGCCCAACTGCAAAAGGGACGGAGAGAGTGGGGAACTACATCTCCCTGCACGCAATGCGGTTTTGCATAAACTACAAATTCCAGTGTGCCACATCGGTATCTTTTACTCGGCAATGTAGGTATTTCCGAGGTCGTGTATTGTTCCCAGCGAATGGTTTCTTGAAGTCATATTTTATGTATAGCTTTCTAAGAGGCAAAAAATGACCTTGGCAAAAGAAAAGCTGTTGGGTCCTTAAGGGACGTGGTAAGAAGAGAATTTGACACCACTGGAAGGAAGTAACTGTTGGGAGGGTGTTTCACACCCTGTCTTCTCAAACGCTTGTTTCTGTTTTCTTCCGGATCGGATTGACCGTCTTCGGCCCCCGTAGGCATTGTGTCAAAAGTGCCGATCAAAATGGAAGTGAATCCCCCCAAACAGGAGCACTTGCTGGCCCTGAAAGGTAAGCTTGCGAACCTGACTCCCCTTAATCTGTTTTCTCCCCTTCTCTCTAGTTCTCGAAGCCTTTGCTACACAGCCCTGGCCTCCAGGATGTAGGCCTTGTTCTTCTTAAACTGTCAGTACTCGCCCTGATGCTGTCCTTTGGCGTCGAGCAGCAGAAAGCAATTGTTCCTCTTAGATTTTGAGATTCGAGAGCCTCTCTCTAGAATAAAATAGATAGGTACCTGGTAAATACCTTGTTATGTGCTGCCGCAGTCATCACACAGATTTCAGCTGCAGAAGCTGACGTCAACAACCGATGCAAGCCCGGTTAAATAAGATGACAGCTGACTTCTGTCTATTGTTTCTTCAAGTAGCACTGACAAAGTTACCAAGCTTCAACTTCAACTGTAAAATTAATATAGTATTGCACGACAGCTGTGCCAAAAATTTAGAAATACATAGTTCTAACAAGTTTGTTAAAACTTACTGTAGTTTACTTCAAAATATTGTGTATGTGGGAAAATTGTCAGATTTAATTTTTTTTTTGTACGCAGCAAACAATTTTGAGTAAGTTTGATGATTTAACTAGATCATAAGGGAAAAACGGCAGTTTTTTGGGGGGGGGAATTCCTACTGATTTCTGAAAAACTTATTTGAAATGCTTTCAGCTTTATTTCATCCGTTTTCTATACCTCGAATTCACCCTTTATTTCTTAGACGCTCTGCAATGTGGTTACCAATACCTTCTTGGACTGAGCTGAGAAAATGCTCAGTAGACATTTGAATTCAGATGAATTGCACCGACTTCCTGTGATATCCATTTTGAGGGAACTTCCTCTCCTACCACCACCACCACCTTAGAGTGTAGGCGACAAACAGAAGCTCACTGGTTTCATTTGTAACATAAAATCATATACTAGTAGCTTAGGTTAACAGGACTGTCTCTGACTATAGAATTAAGAAACTGCAATATTAGGTAATATAGCAATAGAACTTGTAAGCTTACCTTGAGCAAATGAGCTGGACTGAAATGGATTATCCCTGGATAAAAAGAAAAGGAACTGTCATGTTCGTTATCTCTCAGTCTCACATCAAATATGTGGAATACATGTTACTTAACTCTCAGAAGTTAAGAAACTTTTCCAAGATCACCAAGCTAATAAGTGATTGAGGCAATACTTCGTCACAAGGCCTTCCTGGATCTTTCCAAGACTCCATGTTGCCTACTAATAAAGGAAACTGCATTTTCAGAAATCTTTCCTTTTACTTATCTTTGATAGGACTTTGAAACAGTCCTTTTAGCTGCCAGGTGTTATTTTATACAAACTGGGAGCTGTTAAACACAGTTAAATATTAGTGGTATGGAGACTAACTGCCATTCGGAATTTTTAGTTTTCTTTATTTTCCAAAGCAGAAGATACCTTGGGAAAG